GGCTGGGAAGGGATGTGAAGGGTAAACAAAGGAGGAGGCTGCAATGCTTGGTAAGAAATGTATGCATTATCCTGCCCATGTAATTGTAACCCCTCTGTACAGTATGTTCACAAATAAAATAAAATTAAATTAAAAAAAAGAAGAAGAAGAAAAAAAAAGAAAATAAAGGGGCTGGGAATGTGGTTTAGGGGCTGAGTGCTTGCCTAGTATACATGAGGCCCTGGGTTCGATGCCTCAGTGCCACATGAGCAACAACAAAAATAATAATAAATTTAATTTTTTTTAAAAAAAAAAAGAAAAGGAAGTCAAACAAAACTCTTACTTTCTGACTTCTCTTGGAAAGTCAGGATTTCTTTTTTTTTTTTTTGGGGGGGGGGGGGGTCTGGTTGTGGGCCTGAATTCGGGGCCTGGGTGCTGTCCCTCAGCTCTTCAGCTCAAGGCTAGCACTCTACCACTTGAGCCACAGTGCCACTTCCGGCTTTTTGTTTATGTGGTGCTGAGGAATCGAACCCAAGGCCTCGAGCATGCAAGGAAAGTGCTCTACCACTGAGCCACCTTCCCAGCCCAGAAAGGATTTCTAAAGCCACTGACCCTCACTGATGTGGTGTAGGTAGCCTTTTGGACTTAGAATATATGCATGGGCCCACATAATCCCCACCACTCTCTGAAGGCCAGACTCTCATCTGGCCTCTCATTGTCCTACCCACAACAGTGGCATTTCAGTTTGACCCCAAAGTCTATCCAAGCACCTTCTGGACTGACTGCCTGACTGGAAGAACTCTGCTGCCCCCTGGTGGTCACAGTTCACAGGTCACATCCATGCACACCAACAAGGCTCCTGGTACTATCCATTTTCTGCCAGCTGTACTGTCCTCCATGAGATGAGCTGTACCCATTTCACAGATGAGGAAACAGGCCATATAACTTCAGTAGTCACCAATTAGAAAACACATGGGCAAGCCTGGGTGAATAGATTACTCAGGACGCCAGGCTCCATGACGTTGTTGGGACTAGAATCCCACTCTTTCCTTAGCCCTATGCCAGAGTATTTAGTATGTGTGAAACAACTCTTCCTTCTTAGAAATTATGTCCTGATAGAGGAAGCCTAGAATCCCATGAGATAAAAGCTCTGTGGTGAGCACTTTGGGAGGGGACAAAGTGGGTTTGAGTTCAATTTGAGGGGGTGGTGGTGCTGGGAATGACCGAGGCTTGAACTCAGAGCCTTGCGCTCTCATTTTTCTGTGTTGCTCAAAGACACCACTTTACCACTCAAGCCACATCTCCACGTTCAACTTTCTGCTGCTTAACTGCAGATACGTCTTGCAGACTTTTACGCTCAGGCTGGCTTCAAACCGTGAGACTCAGATCTTAGCCTCCTGGGAAGCTAGGATTACAGGTGTGAGCCACCAGCACCTAGCTGGACTCAGGTTTGCTAACACTGGGCACATTTCATAGTAACTACCCAAGAGGGCCTTTTTCTTCTTCCTTCAGTTCTATATCTCCCAAAAGCTCTGCACCTGCCCCTCCTCCTTCAGGATATCTTCCCTGAACACTCAGCCTTCCCCAACCTCTTCCTGGTCCTCCACAGTCCTCATCTCCTGCTGATGTCCTTGCCCCCAGTGGGCTAGGAAATGATACAACTGATGTCCACTTGCAGCCAGCAGGAGACGGGCAGCAGACTGCTGGCAGTCAGTGTTCTCTGTGACCTTTATCTGAGCAATATGTAGCCAATGCCAGCACACTTGAGGCCCATGATGGAGGCTTGGGTAGACTGTGGCACAAAGCAGAACTTCCTGTCCTCTCAGAGTGTGAAGTCACCTGTGGACACACCAGAAGCCTGGCCAGACCTACTGATCTGCTGAAGCATAGTCCTGGGCACGTCACTGCCCCCATACGGGCAAAGTCCCTCACCTGCTTCCCCCCCCCCCACCCATTACCCCTGTGCCTGCCCTGCGCACTCCCTCCGCAGCTTGGCATGCTGCCCTTGCCTGTGTCTCCTGAGCTGCACATGTGCACAGTGCACGCTCCCTGCAGTCTGTGTGCACTGGGACGCACAAGGCCCTGCATCTTCCTTCTCTCCAGCAGCCAAGTCCAGCTCTTGGAGGCACTTGCAAACACACATAGCAATGTACACGCTTTGTATCTAGCAGGTGTCCCTCAAACAAATGGCCCACGGGCCCATCCGCGGTACTCAGGGGTGAGATCACACAAACCACACACGTCATCTTGTAAGTCCTTTATTCCCAGGGTTGGACATAAATGATTCACCAAGCTAGCACATACCACTTTAACCAAGAAATCCTTTCTCTTCCCTGGGGTGTTAGAAACTTCCTCATGCCCCACACCAAGTTACAGCCCCTTTCACTCCACTTCGGAGAGCCAGGGCACCTTTGTGAATCCTTCTTCAACTCTAGGAAGCCTGTTTGGTAGTTAGGCAGATGTTCTAGCAAGCTTGTATGTGACACCTCGCCAGTGAACTAAATAAGACACAGTGAAGTGGTTGTAGGCATGGAGGGCAAAAAGGCACACTAAAGTCCGGGGGAGATGCAGGCCGTTCCCCAGCTTCTCCACGCTTCTGCTCCCTCCTCAACGACTTCCTCTCCACCCCTGGCCCAGGAGAAGCCATGACCACGAGCCACTGGGAACATCCCTATCTCCCTTTCATCCCAAGCAGGTTGGCTTTTTGTTGACATTTGTCTTTGTTTTTTTCCCTGAGGCCTACAAGAACACCCAATGTTGTTCAGGTCCCTTTTAATGGCACTTAATAAATATACATTCTAGGCCCTGACACAACAAGCTGTCCTATTTGAAATAGCTAGAACAAAGCTCAGATGAGGTTTAGCCTCGTGACCCATAGCCTATCTTGAAGCCCACCCTTGGGCAAGGTGGGCAAGGTCCTACGCTAGAGGGCAGGCTAGTGCCCAGAGTAATTCCATCAGCCCCTCTGGAAACACAGCCCCTCCTGGCTTGTAACAGTTTAAAGCAGCAAGTGGTCATGTATGGCCCTGGGGAGTGCCAGCAGCACCTGGGGAGCCCACGCGCGGGTTTCTACTGTCATCGGCTGCCCCATGCTTTCTGTTCCTATTGGAAATCTGAGTAGGACAGAAACCGGATCAAGAGCATCTTGTTCCAGGTGCTGGTGGCTCACTCCTGTCATTCTAGCTACTCAGGAGGCTGAGATCTGAGGATCATGGTTCAAAGCCAGCTGAGGCAGGAAAGTCTACGAGACTTTTCATTCCGGTTAACCAGCAAAAAGCCACAAGTAAAGGTGTGATTCAAATGGAAGAGTGCTACTAGCCTTGAGCCAAAAAAATGTCAAGGAGAGCAGGAGACCCTGAGTTCAAGCCCAGTACCAGCATAGATGAAAAGAGCATTCTAGCTGGTGCCAGTGGCTCACACCTGTACTCCTAGCTATGCGGGAAGGTGAGATTTGAGGATCGCAGTTCAAAGGCAGCGCAGACAAGAAAGTCTGCGAGAGTCTTATCTCTAAGTAACCGCCCAAAACCCAGAAGTAGAGGTGTAGTTCACGTGGTAGAGTGCTAGCACTGAGCAAAAAAAAGAAAAGCTCAGGGACAGTGCCCAGGCCCAGAGTTCAAGCCCTAGGACCGGCACACACATAAAGAAGAGCATCTTGTGAAGTAAGTTTAGGGTTGATTCATGCTTAATTTCCCAGAGCTCTGCCACATGGGCAAGTGCAAATTTCTCGGGAGCCCTTCAGAAGCCCGAGCCGACAGTGCGCGGCATCCCAGTTCTAACAGAGATGTTCTTGGAAATCAGTACAAACTGTTACTCTCCTAAGGTCACTATGTGGGGACATGGTGGGGGGGGGGGGGGGCTTCCCTCTCTGACCACTGATCCAGCTCCCTGACATCACCCCCATGGGCCTCTCTTCCCGGAATAGGAACTCATTGAGAAGCTTCAATTTCCAGGTTCCAGGAAGAACAGCCCACTCCCTGAGTTCATGAGATGGACAACCTAGACTGAACTACAGTCGTGTGCGGCGTGGCTGTCAGTAGTGGCCGGCGGGCGTGTGAGCTGGCAGTTGAGTGAAAGCTATGATCTTGAGTTGCTATGGCCTTGCTGCCTTACACAAGTCCCCTCCGTGGTGTCCAGTGACATTTCCTATGGTGTGTTCATGATGAGTGTCTAGGGAAGGAACTGAGGCAGGCTCTGGGTTCACAGGCAGGGGCGCTGTGCAGATGGATCAGGTCTGCCCCCGTGGCTGCGGGCAGGTGGTAGCCGCATGTCTGCATCCCCTGCGGCCCCACATTTGTGGAGACCAGCGGGTCCACATGGTAGCTTCCTGCCGTCACTGTGGCCCAGGAATGGGTTAGGTCGCTCTGGATGGGGTTCTGGACCGTGGCCGACCCCTGAGACTCCCACGGCCAACACACTGCATCCTGTCTGCCTTCAGGCCACCAGCAACAGCCGAAAGCCAGGGACAACCCTGGCTCTACCACCCAGGAGAGGAAACCAAGTGAAGGAAACCATTCTCGCCCCTCCCCACGCACCTGGCCAGGGGCGTCTCCCTCACAGGGTTTTGGTCATGACTGGTGTGGTCTTTCATCTCTTGGTCCAGAAAAAAAAAACAGCAGCAGCTGTGATTGCTACCAAGGGCTCCTGCACCCCATGAGTACACCATCACATCCCCTGAGCCACCTCGTGTCCGTGCTGCGCATACCCCAGCCTGTCTGCATCTCCTGGGGAAGACGCTATCCAGGGACAAAAGCTGGCTGGCTGGGGGGGGGGGGGGGGCGGCCATGACAGCTCCTACTTCCGCCAACTGTCTGGACAGACAGTTCTGGAGTCGCCCAGCATCCTCTTCCTGTGATCACGAGACAGGGTGTGCCTGGGTGGCAGGGACCCCCTGCGAAGGCACAAGGCCTGTCCATCCCACACCAGGGGCCATCCTGCTGGGCATCCAGTGGCCACTCTCCAGAGCCCAGTCACCTCTTGTAGCTGGCCACCTGCTGCCAGCCCCATGTCCTCCTTGCTTCCTTCCCCCCATGTCCTCCTTGCTTCCTTCCCCTCCCCCGGGGGCCCTGCCTCTCAGCCCCTCCCATCCTCAGCCACATGGACTGGGCACCCTAACAGGGTAGACTCCAGCCCCATGGAGCTGGGCTGGGGGCCGTGGCCAGGAAACCGGAAGGCACATATCCCCTCTGTCCGTCCACCTCCACCAGGCTCCATTCCGGGTTCCCCTTCTTGTCCTGGGCCTCCAGGACTGTCACCGGCTGGCCGGCCCGCAAACTCACTTCATGGCTGCTTCTGGCCACGAAAGGGTACACTGCCACCACCTGGACGGAACACGTGGGGGGCGACAGGAAGAGGGTCAGGGTGGCTGAGGATGCTAGCCTGTTCCCACCTGGCTCCGGCCCCCCCCCCCACCCCCTCCCAAACACCCCCTGTGTCCCTAATACTACAGCTAGCCATTGCTGTGTGACTGGTGCTGCTCTAGCACTTTTCTCGGGTTTGGTTTTTCACAATTATATCCTTCTATTTGCTCTTTTCTTATCCTTCCCCCCCCAGATGATGCAATTGGGGCTCACACACCTAGGGAGTCAGATTCTTGCTCCCCTAGAGCCGATGGGGAAATCTCAGATTTGCCCAAGCCAGCTTCCCAGCTTTGAAGGAGGAATATTGGCGGAATAGTATTCAGCCATAAAAAGGAACTGGGATTTGGGTCAGTTAGGCCACATAGTCCAAGCTGGGTATGGTCACTGACCTTCCTCCTTCCTCTAGAGAGCTGGGGTGATCAGACCCTCTAGCCGAACACCTGGCTGACATGGAAGGGTTTTGGCCCAAGAGCCAAAGAGTGGATGTGGCAAGAGCTACTCAACTTCCTCAAGTATAAACTCAGTGCTCTGCATACATATACATATACATATACATATACATATACATACACATATACATATTGAGGTATGTGCATCTATCATCACTGCCCAATTTCAGAACCTTTTCCTCATTCCCACAAAGAAACCCCACACTGGTTAGCAGTCACTACGCTTCCCTCTCCTCAGCCCCTGTGAACACAAGCCCTGTCTCTCTCCATGGATTTACCTATTCTGGACAGTCAAATAAATAAAATCCTGTGGTGCATGGTCTTTTGTGTTTGCCCTCTTTCCATGTTCAGGGCTCATCCATGTTGTAGGTATGCAACGGTAGCTCATCCCTTTTTTAGGGCTGAATAATATTCCACTACATGGATATATATATATCACACTTTGTTTATCATATTGAAAAACATTTGGGTGGTTTTTGTTTGTTTGGGGCAGTAATGGAGTTTGAACTCGGGACTGTGAGTTAACAAGGCAAGTGCTCTACCACTTGAGCCACATAACCAGTGCTAGGTTATTTCTTATTAATAATGTTGTCTTGAACATATACATATACACATATATGTTATATATATATATATATATATATATACATATATATATGTGTTTCTTGTTGTCTTTGAGAGAAAGAAACGTAGATACCTCACTGAGGCCACAGGGCTGGGCTGACCTGTCCACGCTGGCCTCACCAGCAAGATCCTGCCCCTCACTCTTCCCCCACCCACTACCTTCATTCAGTTCCTCCCACATTCCCATTCTCTCCTGTCACAGGGCCCGTGCATATGCTGTGCATGGTTTCTGGAGAGCTGTACCCCAGTATAACCCCTTTATCTAGTAAAGCCTGCTTAGCTTTCCTCTCTGAGAGAAAACATTATTCTCTCCACACTTCAGGCCCCTTGAGAAGCTTAAAAGTTCAGTTACGGTGTGATTGGTCCACTCATCACTGCTTTGCCCCCAGATCATAGCTGATGAGGGTGAGGGCCAGAACTTACTTTGGCCCCTTATTATCTCTCATCTAGGGCCTTGCCTGCCAAATACTGAAAGCATGGATGAATCTCAACAGCTATGGTGATGGAAGCCCGGGGTTAGCTCTGGGTGGTGACCATGGTTGGTATGAGAATCCCCTTCCCCAGGTCCCACCTCTGGCAGGGACTTTGAGGTGTTGGTGATCTAGGCCTGGCCTCAGGGGATGTGACCTTCAGACAGGAGTGTAGACTTTGAAGGCATCAGTTCAGGTGGCTGTGGGAAGCAAGCTTCCAGGCTCCTCCCAGACTCACCTGGGCCACGGCTGGGGCACAGGGGACGGGGGCTGAGGTGGGCTCTGGTGCTGGGTGTTTGGAGTCCTCATGTTGCCCCGCCTGACCTCTGAGCTCCTTCTTACTGGGAACGGCGTGATACGGCTGCAGTGTCCCGGCCGGCACATATCCCCGGTGTCCTAGAGAACACATGGAAGGTAATGAATGGGCTGCAGGCCACTCCAGGGCTCCAGTGCAGCTTCCCAGCACTCCAGGGGACCTGGCAGGTCACCAAGGCACCATGCAAACCCTGTTCCACGCTGCACTGGCTACTGCCTGCTGCTGTGTGCTCACCCAGGGGCGGGGCCTTCCCTAGCAGGACAGCCATTGTAAACAGCTTGGACAGAGATGGAGTTCCCCCTTAGACTGTGTGGAAAAAGCATCTGGTGCCGGCGCCACTGCCCTGGGGCCCTCTAGTGGCCACCCAGAGGATGGCAGCATCCCCTTCCCAGGCCTGGTGGCCTTGCTCCTCTCCAGGCTGCTCAGGCCCTGCCTGGTTGCTGTTCCTAGGAACCGCCATCATTTCCCAAAGGACCTGTGAAGCACCAGGCCAGCCTGTGGCCACCAGACTTCACATCAATTCTTAAGGCAGCTCGTCTCCATCCAAGTTCAGAGAAGGCCCACGAGTCTCCACACCTTTAGGAAAGGGTGGAGCTGGGATCCAGCCCAGTGCCCAACCCCACAGCCTTGCTCGACCACTCACTTCAGCGGTCAGAGTGCTCAGAGTGCTCTTTGGGGATGTTTAGAGATTTTGTCTTCTTGCACAACCTTTCTTTTCTTTTCTTCCTTTCTTCCCCTGCCCCTTTCTCTCTCTCTCTCTCTCTCTCTCTCTCTCTCTCTCTCTCTCTCTCTTTTTTGTACTTGAACTCAGGGCCTGGGCACTGTCCTTGAGCCTTTTTGATCAAGGCTAGCACTCTACTACTTGAGCCACAGCTCCATTTAGGCTTTTTTAGGGACTCCAAACTGCAGTCCTCAGATCTGAGGCTCATAGGTAGCTAGGATTACAGGTGTGAGCCACCAGCGCCCAGCAAAATGACTCACACGTGTGTGGGGGTGGGGGTGGGCATGCACATGTGCATATACACACACACACACACACACACACACACATATCCATCTTGGATCTTGGACTCAGGGCCTGGGCACTGAGCTTTTGTGCTCTTTTGAGCTCTACCACAGCTCCACTTCCTTGACTCACATTTAAAACCTACGCTGGTACTGTGAGAATACTATCACAGAAGTATGGATTTGTTGTATTTTCTATAACACACACTAGAGTACTTATGTAACAAATGTGAAGCCCTGACTGAAGGAGGGACACATTACGTCTGGGCACTCCGCATCTGTGGGTTACCTTGTCATCTTTGGACCATGCCATTGGGCCATTTTATTGTTCTAGATTCATTGTACCACTCACCTCCACCCATTCTACCTAGGCCTGCTAACCAGAGCCACATGCCCCAGGGCCATGGCCAGTAGACTGGGCAGGATGGCCACTGGCCTCTGCTATCAATGTGGTTGGGATACACGGATCCCTTCAATGAGCACATCTCCATCTTTCAGGGAACTGAGAAGTTCTCTTACCTCACTGGGAACCCACACAGTCCATGAGGTCCCCCAGGCACAGTACTTGTCTTCTTGTAACTGGTCCTGGGGCTTGAACCTCCACTTCTAGCTTGTAGTTAACTGGAGATAAGAGTGTCATGGATTTTCCTGCCCAGGCTGGCTTCAAACTGCAATCCTCAGATCTCAGCCTCCCGAGTAGCTATTGAGTGCAGGCACAAGCCATGAGCACCCAGCTCGGTTCTTGTCTTTTTGCATAACACCCAGAACATAGGTTCTGGTTCATTATTGAATAATGAACAACAGATTTTGGACAGGAAAGCTGAACCCTCTTTTTGGCATGTACACACTACTGAGTCATGAAGCTTTGCAGCTGTCACCCGCTCGATCCCCGTCCTGGATTCACACAGCCAGATTTTGACTCAGAAGGGTGCCATGTCTCCCCACTGTTCCGATGGGTGGTGTTGGGGTGCGTGTGTGTATGTGTGTGTGTGTTGTTGTTGTTGCTGCTGCTGCTGCTGCTGTTTTTTTCCCAGAAGGACAGGAAGAGCTCCCAAATACCCACATACCCCCGGTGTCTACCAGCCAGCGACTGCTGTTGCCTTTGGTGTCCTTGTTTTGAAGAAGGGCCACAATTTGGCCCCGTGGTAGTGTCAGGTCCAGGGTTCCAGCTCCACTGACATTGCTTGTCACCTGGTACAACTTCCCAAGGCCATACCTGTTCATCAGGGCCTGCACCTGGCGCTCAGAGCCAGGAACCAGTGGCTGTGGGGGGAAAACAGATTCATGCAGAAACTGAAGTGTCAAGGCTGGTGTGTGCTCAATGTGTGCCCAGCCTAAGGCTGGGTGTGTGAAGACACACCAGGACCATCCCTGGCCTGGGGATGCCTCACTTCCTCTGGGCTCTCTGTTTTACCCAGATCAGGGAGGATTTGAGAATTCTGGGACAGGGCAGGATGGGAGGATAGGAAGGGGTTGTCTCCTCCTCCTAAGTACAGTTCACACTGTAGCCATGAAAGCTTCTATTCATTTATGCTTCTTTTTATCCTGTGTCTCCTACAGCAAGACTGCTGTTCTAAAAAGAAACATGTTAACTTGCTGGAAGTAGAGGGGGGGGTGCCCAGATGTCCTTGAGCAACTGTTTTGCTTCATCTTCTGTCCTCTTCTCTTGTCCCCTAGTTGCCAGGTCCCTGACCACCCCTGTGAGACCTCCACAGGTATAACTATTACTGGGTAGGAGGTTCAAACTAAAGCCAGGCATTGTGGCACAGGCCTGCAATCCCAGCTACTCAGAAGGCTGAGATCTGGAGGATCAAGGTTCAAAGGCAGTCCAGGCAAAAACGTCTACAAGACTCCACCTCTAATTAGCCAGTCATCTGGAAGCATGACTCAAGTGATAGATTGCCAGGGGAACAAAAAGCCAAGCAAGCATAAGACCCTGAGTTCAAACTCTGGTATCAGGAAAAAAACAAAGTGGTAAAGGAAAAAAAAAGTTTGGATTTTCTCACTCTTGATCCAAGAATAAGACACCCACTGGCCATGAACAATAGATTTAAGTGTGGCCATGGGGAAAACAAAGAATTTCTGTAACAGACACACTGAGAAGTAGAAAGAGCATGGGGGAGGGGTGGTGAGCCTCCCCCCCATCCACTCACTGTCTGAGAACAGGGACAATGTTGGGGGGCTGGAGGGTGGAGGGAAGGCACTTACCTGAGCCATGGGAGGTGGCAGCACTTTCTCAAAGTCCTCCTGAAAGGCTCGAAGCTGGGTACTGCTCTGGCCTAGCATGTCTTCCACCAGCTTTCTGAAGGCCGGCTCTGAGAGGCCGTGATGGGGTAGCTGAGTGAAACAGACAACATCAACAGGGCCTCTGTGGGAGACAGGGCCAGGGGGTGGCTGGCCATGCACATTCTCGCTCCAGCTGAGTCATGAGGGGCCTGCCTGTCAGAGTCCACCGTTGCTTTTTTCTTTCCCTTAAGAAATAATCTTTTACCAGGCGCTGGTGGTTCATCCCTATAATGCTAGCTAGTCAAGAGGCTGAGATCTGAGGATCCTGGTTAGAAGCCAGCCTAGGCAGGAAAGTCCATGAGACTTTTGGTATCTCCAATAAACTACTCAAGAAAAAAAAGGGGGGTGGGGCACTGAGACGGTGGCTCAGTGGTAGAGGGCTTGACTTGCATGCATGACGCCCTGGGTTCGATCCCTCAGCACCACATAAGCAGAAAAAGCAGGGAGTGGCGCTGTGACTCAAATGATAGAATGCTAGCCTTGACCTGAAGAGCTGAAAGACAGCACCCAGGCCCAGAGTTCAGGTCCCACGACCAACCAAAAACAAAAAAAGCTGGGAGTGGTACTGTGGCTCAAGTGGTAGAGTGCTAGCATTGAGCAAAAGAGCTCAGGGACAGCACCTACGCCCTGTGTTCAAGCCCCAGGACTGTCAAAAAAGAGAAAGAATCCCTCAGTGGGTCAGGACCCATCATGATGCTGTATCTGAGGGCTGGGTGGTCCCGATTCCCCTCCTCCTGGCTGTGGAGATTGGTCCACGGGATGACAGTGGACTCTGGCACAGCCAATAAAAAGCCTCTCATCAGTCAGTGCATGAAGGCTGAAAGTCTTTCTTCATTTGTATTATGAGAGGTGAAGCTACCGACTTACAGCTCCTCCCTAGCCAACTCTCCCATTGTATAGAGAAAGCCTGCCAGGAAATAAAGATATCCAGAGGGGTAGACAGAGGGAAGAAGAGAGGAAGCCAGAGCCCTGCAAACTTCATTTGTCCTGCACAAGGCCAGGCTCAAGCCCTGAGCTCCTTGTGCCTCCAGATAAATTCTTTTTTTTTAGAATTCCAGCTGCATTGCTTTGGGTTTATGTTACTTGCAGCCAAAGAGTTCTGAGTCTCTCCTGAGCCCTTGACTCTGGACAGGATCTTCTGACTTCTTACCAGACAGCCTGAGAGTGAGAAAGACTCCCCAGCCAACAGAGTACTGCCGTGCAGGCTTTCAGCAGGTACTGGGGACAGGGGCAGGTGGGTGGCCTTCCGGACACAGAGAGGGGAGGCTGGCAGCTATTTCCAATGGCCCAAACCAGTCAGGAGAGGCCCGCTGCTTCCATCTGGCGTCTTCCACCCTGCACATCCCTCCTCAGGGCCCAGAAAGCCAGGGACCACTGAAGAGACCACCTGTGCCTTTGGGAGAGGCAAGGGGCTCTTTCTATAGATGATTCAGACCCACTTCAACTCAAAAAGAGTATCTCCATTGGGCACGCCAGTCATCCCAGCAACTCAAGAGGCAGAAGTAGGAAGATCTTAGTCCAAGGTAGGCTCTGAGTAAATGCTTGAAAAGTAACTAAGTGCAAAAAAGAAGTGGGGTGTGTGGGTCAAGTGGTAAAGCACTTGCCTAGTTGTCCCTAAGGCTTTGAATTCAATCCTCAGTAACAACAACAATGATGTCGACGACAGCAACAACAGTGTCTCAGAGAGCCATTAAAATACCAGGAGAGCCCAAAGAAGAGAAATGCCCAGGGTGCCAGCCTTCCATCCCCTTGCAGAATGCAGGCTCTGCTTAGCACTCTGCAGAGGTCCATGCTAAGCACCACTGGAGCAGAGAGGGTGGCTGGGCTGAGGATTCTCATGCCAGGGGACAAGAATTGAAAGCACTTCATCTGCCACCATATGTCAGCCCCTGTATAAGCCCGGCTATCCTCCGAGAGTGTCACACCCCAAGCTGAGGAGGCATTGGGGTCCAGGGGCTGGTGTAGAAGCATTCAGGAACTGGTCTGGGGCTGGGGGGATCCTAGAGGGGTTTTCACGCAGAGAATTGGGTAGGGAAGGCTGAACAGGGGGATGTGGAACACAGGAGGCTGTGCTGGGATAAGAAGCATGAAGATGGCTCCCCAAGTCCCACTCATGAGCTGTGCAGCTCTGAGGATGACATTTACAGCGCAGGAGGCGGAGATGCTGGGCATTCCTTCCTGTACCAACTCAGCCCACAAAATCCTGAAGTGCACATTTGCATTTGGAGGTTTGTCCAACCCTCTTTGCAATCTACTTAGGCTTTAGTGGATGGTTCCTTTTACAGGCTTTTAAGCATTCTGTGCAGGACTAAGGCTATGGTTCAAAGCCAACCATTAGCGAGATAACCTTTCAAGAGCTACTTTAACCCCTCTGAGCCCGTGTTTGTTGTTTTTTTCAGTTTTGAGATGAGGATTATAATAACACCTACTTAGGGTAGTTGGGGATTCAGTAAGATAATGCATGGGAAATGCTCCTACCAGGTGTATAACAAATGCTCACCGGGCAGTGTCTACTAGAAAGAGTGACGTGGGGTAGGCAGGTAGAAAGGGAACGACCACAGGAAGAAGCCAAGGAACAGGTGCAGCACTGTATCTAGGTACGTTTTACCAAACAGTGGTTCTACCACTGTTGACTACAGTTGAGGCTGCTTCTGGGTTCAGTGGCCAACGGTCTCCAGCAACAACCCCAACAGGGATTTTTTTCAAATCAAATCTCGCTAGTGCTTCAAGCAGTCTGCTGCCCTGTTGGAGACTCCTGTGTGGATCCTCCATTGGATGCTTTCCTTACTGAGACAGAGGGCCTACCTGCCATCTCCCTTGATAGTAGTAGTAAGAACCACAACAGAATGATCCCTTAAAGACTGCTGTGAGAAGTCCCTGTGCCCCCACACCTAGCTGGAGTCACTTTTTCCTTCTTACGTCACCGGCCAGTGATATTCTCCAGGAGCGGGGCCAAGTCTTGCTATTTTTCCCAGCAAAGCCTCCTCTGCTCTGAACCTCAGAACCTGGCCAGAGTCCCAGCCAAATCCTTGCTTTCATGGCCTGAGTCACCCAAGAAAGGAGAACTGGCATGAGAAAGATCTCGAAGGTCCCCACAGCCCCCTCCTTGGCACCTCTGGCCCATCTGGAAGGTCTGACATCGCTTTATCCAGACCCTGCAGATAGCTGGTGGAGGGGCTCAAGTAGTAAGAGGCGCCCCAGTCCTGGCAGCCTTACCTGGGCCATGCTACTGCCTGCCCTCTGCAGCACCTGCTCAGCCAGGTCCTGTTGGAGGGCCACGAACGTGCACAGGATCTGGCCCAGCCACTGCATGACCAGCTGGTTAAACTGCGGGAGCTCGGCCACCAGAAGGGCATTGAGTGCCTGGTACGTGTGCCGCGTGGCCTCCTCCTCGTACGTCACGCTGCCCACCTCCAGCAGCTTCTCTTCCACCCGCTCAAAGTCCAAAAGTTTGTCCAGGCGCTTCTTGATCAGGTTCTGAGGACCAGCCAGGGCTCTGGCCAGGCTGCACAGAGGCTGCCACACCAGGGCCTGCAGCCGCTGCTTCTGTGGGGAAAAGGGGGCGTGGGAGCTGGGATAGGAGACAGCAGAGGGCAGAGGCCAGGAGAAGGGGCTTTAGAGGCAGGCAGCTTGGGTTCCAGTCCCCCTCCACCGGGCCTCCGCAGCCATCTGCAACCCACTGCATTTTATCTAACCGCTGCTGCTCTGAACATAGGGATGGCTGGTTTCCAGGAGAGCCTAGCACAGGGTACACACTTGGTTCCTGTGGAGTCTTTGTATTGTTACTGGGCAAAGGGCTTGAGAAAGATTTAGTACACAGTGGTGGTTGGTGGCTCATGCCTGCCATCCTAGCTACTCAGAAAACTGAGACCCAGAGGATCATATTCAAAGCCAGCCAGGGCAGAAAAATCCATGAGACTCCTATCTTTAATTAACCAGAAAAAAGCAGGGTTGGAGGCTCAAGTGGTAGAGCACCGGCCAAGCTAGCAAGCCCTGAGTTCAAGCCCTGTTAGTATATACACACATGTGTGTGCACACACGCACGTGCGCGCACACACATACACACACTAGCACAAGTGGTGGTGGTGGATATAGTCTTTGGGACATGCCACTGACTATCTGTTTCTGTTTTGTTTGTTTTTATTTTGTGCCAGTACTGGGGTTTGAAGGCCTGGGTACTTACTCTTAGCTTTGTCCACTCAAGGTTGGCACTCTACCATGTGAGCCACAGCTCCACTTTCTGGCTTTTTGTTGGTTAACTGGAGACAAGAGTCTCACAGACTTTCCTGCCCAAGCTGGCTTTAAACTGTGATCTTCAGAACTCAGGTCCTGACTAACTGGGATTACAGATGTGAACTACAGGCTCCTAGCAACCACTGACTACCTACCTATATAAATAATGTAGGAGGTCACATGCTCAGAGCCTCTGCCTCCCATCTGCAGAATGGAGTATTAATAGTAGCTTCCCCCAAAGCATGTAGCAGGGAGCAAATGAGGTAAAGAATGGAAACGACTTAGCCCAGTTTCTGTAATAGGGTGCCCCTTCCTACATTAGCTAAGGCTATTTTTATCAGGAAATGCATGAACAATAATCTCTACCCACTGGCCACCCAGGATGGTAATGGATGGTACAAAGTGCCCAACTTCTAAGTATTCCTCTGCTAGGCTCTGCCACCTGCCTGACACAGAAAGGAGAAAGGAAAAAAAATCCCACTCACAAACTCCAGGAAGGCCTGGCACTGAAGGTCTCTCGCCAGGCTGCAGTACTGCTCAACAGAGCCCCCGGGGATGTCCAGATTGCATTCGTGTGGCCGGAATCGGAGAAAAGCCTTGAACCAGAGACACAAGGAGACAGGCAGTGATGGTCTACCATGGCCCTCTTAGTCCTGTCCCCTTCCCCCAGCAGGCCTCCCAGAGAGGTTGGTCACCCACCCTCACTGCCTGGAACCAGGTAGGCACACAGACTATGTGTCCCTTGCACACCTTTGGTGAACAGAAAACCCATCCTGAGTCTGATTCTGAGTATTCCTCTCCAGCTTCTGCTTGCCTTGCAAACAGCTGGTGCCAACTTTATGATTCTTTTGCCAGCATTCATATTTTACATATCCTATCAAGACATGTGTGTGTGTGTGTGTGTGTGTGTGTGTGTGTGTGTGTGTGTGTGTGTGTGTGTGTGTGTGTGTGTGTGTGTGTAACTCAGGGCTTGGGTGCTGTCCCTGAGCTTTAGTACTGAGACTAGTGTTTTCTCTACCACTTGAAGCACAGTTCTACTTCTGGTTTTGTTTTTTTTTTGGTTAATTGGAGATAAAAGTCTCATGAACTTTTCTGCCCTCACCGGCTTTGAACCATGATCCTCTGGATCTCCGTCTTCTCAGTAGCTAGGGTTACAGGTGTAAGCCATCAGCACCTGGCTCAATACCTTTGTTAAAAAATCAACTAACATTCTTATTCAAATCAGTGCACTAAAAAGAAAAAAACTCTCATGATGCTGCCAATAAAGGGGAAGACTGTAATAAATATTATAGATAGACATTTAAAAATAGTTGCTATACATACAAAAACTGGGCACCAGTGGTTCATGTCTACAAGCCTACCTACTCAAGAGGCTGAGACGTGGAGGATCATGGAACAAACCCAGCCCAACAGAAAAGTTCATGAGACCACTCTGTGTTCAAAATAACCAACTCTGAGATGACACTATAACTCTAACTACTCTGGAGGTTTGTTTAAATTGAGGTCTGTTTGATTGAGGTTTAAAGCCAGCCCACACAGAAAAATCCGAGAAACTCTTGTTTCCATTAACCAGCAAAAAACCAGAAATGGAGGTATGGCTCAAATGGAAAAGTACTAGCAAAGCAAGAAGCTGAGCAAACATGAAAGCCTAAATACAAACTCCAGTGTCAACAAAACAAATGAGTGCTAGCCAGGTAGTGGTTGCTTATACCTATAACCCTAAATACTCAGCAAGCTGAGACCTGCAGTTCAATGCCAGCTCAGGAAGGAAAGCTCATGAGACCACTGTCTCCAATTAACTACCCTAAAGCCAGAATTGGAGTTGTGGCTCAAATGGTAGAGTGCTAGTCTTGAGCACAGTAGATCAGGAACAGCTAGCTCCCAGATGTTGAGTTCAATCCCCGGTACTGATAAGGCACCTACCCCCCACATGAAGAGGAGCATAGAACCTGACCTTCTTCCTTTTGCAAACCTCCCACACATCATGTTCCCCAATCCCATCACCTACCAAGCCCCTCGTCAACCCAAGTTGGTCTGTGCAGATGGAAGGGACTGAAAATGACCACCAGGGGGCAGAGTGGACACAATGAATCTGCACCAAGCAGGAGAAAAGGGAGAAATCTGGCTAAAATCAGTCAATCCTAGGTGGGCATGTGAACCTGTGTGACCTGTGGGCTGACCTCAGTTTGAAGACAGACATGTTCTTGGGCCTGGATCACACTTAAATTCTTATGAACTAATTGCTCAAATTGACACATCCGTGATTTTACCTAAAAGTCTGAATTTGCAGGAACTTTTTTTCCCCTTAAAACGTTAACTGCATAAGCCAGGCACCGGAGGCTCAGATATGTAATTCTAGCCACCCAGGAATTTGAGCTCCAGAGGATCATGGTTGGAAGCTAGCCTTGGAAGAGGAACCCATGAGATTCCATCTAAACTCAACTAACAAAAAGCCGGGCTAGAGGCATGACTCAAGTGGTAGAGCACCATGAACAAGCAAGCAAAACAAGAGCACAGAGCCCTGAGTTCAAGCCTTGAGAGTGGAACACACACACACACACACACACACACACACACAAATAGCACTGGCCATATTGAGCCCACTTGGCCACCACCTCCCAAGGATTGGCTGCTCTTTTACATCATAAATAGCTTACTAGATACCAGGCTCCTCTTGTGGTTATATTACTTGATCCTTGCACACTTCCTTCTATATACTTTCACTTGCCAGGCCCCTTGCAGCCTGTTTGCCTTTCTTGATCCACTGATTCTACGGGGCCTCTGACCCTGCCCACTCAGAGCTGCCTTCCTACCAGGTCTCGGGGGTAGGGGTCGGCGACTTACAGCTTATGGCTCAGAACCAGTCTGGACCCACACTCACCTCTAGATTATCCATATAAGCAGCCATGTTGCTCTTCAGCTCAGTCACACAGAGGGACACCCACTGGAACCTCTCCTCCAACTCATCAAATTCCTTGTCTTCTGTCTGAAAGGGAAGTCAGGGGGTGAGGGCTACGGAGATCCACGCATAAGCAGTGTGCAGCCAGTTCCTACATTTCAACTCTTGACAGGGGACAACTTTTTCACTGATGCACCCATTGGCTCTCCAGCCCCAGAGGTGAGTGGGGCAGTTTAAGGGCATTGTGAGCCAGGCATGGTGGGACACATCTTGAATCACAGCACTTGCTGGCAAGGCTGGGGTTGCAACTTAAAGACCAACAACGGCAGAGCAGCACCATGGCTTTACATCCAGATCCTGCTATCAGACACATGAGCACGGGAATTCTGGTTCATTCATTTTCTAGCATTTCCCCTCTGGGAACTTCTGTTTTCTCATTTACAAATCAGACACAATGAAAATACCTACTTTGGGCTGGGAGATAGCTCAGTGACAAAGTGTTCTTCCAGCAAGTACAATGTCCTGGGTTCAATCCTCATTACAGAAAAAGAAAAAGACCCTAAGATATGTATTCAAATGTTTTTTTTCTTTCATGCGATTGTTCCTAACATATTTATAAGATTATTTCTTTGTTGCCTTGTATGTCCCTCCCCCACGGTTATAACCCCTGCTTTCACTGTATTTGATGCTGGTATAATTTGTAGAGGGGAAGGGAAAAAACAAATCGTTAAAACAGGAATACAGGTGGACCCACTGCAACAATGAGATGTACAAGTCGTTATGTTGAAAAACAAACTTTACAACTTTTGTGAGGGGCGGAGGGGGTAAGATGGGAAGGGGAAACAAAGGAGGAGGCTACAATGCTTGATAAGAAATGTACTCATTATCTTGCCCATGTAATTGTAACCCCTCTGTACTGTATTTTCACAATTAAAAAAAAGAAAAAGAAAAAAAATGTGTGTACATAGTTTTTGTTTGTTGGTTTAGGTTTTTTGTTATTTTTTTTTTGTCAGTTGTGGGGCTTGAACTCTGAGCCTGGGCCCTGTCCCTCAGCTCTTCACCTCAAGGCTAGCACTCTACCACTTGAGCCAGAGCGCCACTTCTGGTTTTCTGAGTAGTTTATTAGAGATAAGAATCTCATGGACTTTCCTGCCTAGGCTGGCTTTGAACCTTGATCCTCAGATCTCAGCCTCCTGAGTAGCTAGGATTACAGGTGTGAGCCACCAGCCCCCAGCTGTACATAGTTTTTTCTTTTTCTTTTTAGCCAAACAATTAAACACACACTCTATTATATGACTCAAATAAGGCTGGCGCTGAGGAAGCACTCCGTCACCCTGAACTCTATTAGTAGCTATGTGAGGCTGGCTCTTTGCTCTAATCTAAAGACTGTCTGTCCTCTTCAGAATGAGAATCAGGGCTAGGAACGTGGCTTAGAGGTAGAGTGCTCCCCTAACGTGCATGAAGCCCTGGGTTAGAAAAGGTCAGAAGTAGTGCTGTGGCTCAAGTGGAAGAGCACTAGCCTTGAGCACAGAGAGGCTCAGGGACAGTGCCCAGGCCCTGAGTTCAAGCCCCGGACTGGCAAAAAAAAAAGAAGAAGAATCAGAATCTTCAAACTAGGTCTCTTCCTGGTCTCTCAGTCAGCCACCGCTGCTATCTTAACAGCCTCCTCCCTCCCCCCACCATCACCACTAGCTGTGGCCCTTAGGAGGGGCTGGGGCAACCGGTGCCCCTCACCCACTCCCAGCCACCCTCACCTTGAGCACCAGCCCTGCCTCCTGCTTTAGCAGCTGGCTCAGCCGGGTGGTCTTCTTGGACAGGGTGTGCGTGTTGATTCGGGCCAGCCGCTCTCGGAGGCTCAGCTGCTCTGCCTTGGTGTACCTAGAGGCTGCAGTGACAAAAACGAGGATGCAGGTGACTCAGGAGCCACGCCAGGAGAGCCAGCATCCCTGCACAGCTGAGAGGGCCCACCCCATCAGGAGCGCAGCCATCGGGACAGCACGTGATGTGGGGTCCTCGGTTCTGGTTGAGTACTGGCTGGAGAACTTCCTGTTTGCTTGAGCGGGGCCTCAGTTTCCTCATCTGTAAGATGGACTGCTATGAGGATCACCTGAGACATAGGTGTGATGGGACTAAGGAAGGACCCAGCAAGAGGCTGTCTATGTAGGGCCTCCCAGCCAATCCTGGTGTGTGTCTGTGTCTGTGTATCTGTGTCTGTGTCTGTGTCTGTGTCTGTACTGGGCTTGAACTCAGGGCCTTCTTTCAAGCCTAGCACTCTGCCACTTGAGCCACACCTCAAGTTCTGGGGTTTGTTTGGGGATTTTTTTTGTTAACTGTAGAAAAGAGTCCCACAGACTTTCCTGCTCAAGCTGGCCTTACGCCGTGGTCCTACATCTCAGCCATGTAAGTATGGAGATTACAGGCGTGAGCCACCAGTAGCAGACTGGCAGCTCCCCAGCCAGTCTGAGTCAGGCCGGCTGGGAACCACACTTCCCTCAGTCGAAATCCGACCCAAATTAACTGGTCACTTCACACTGTATGCATCTATTGCATCATCACATTGTACCACACATCCTTGTATAATTAAAATAATTATACAGTCGTGGGTCTTAAACTCTGGGCCTGGATGCTGTCCCTGAGCTCTTCAGCTCAAGGCTAGGGCTCTACCACTTGAGTCACAGTGCCAATTCCAGCTTTTTCTGTTTATGTGGTGCTGAGGAATCGAACCCAGGGCCTCCTCCATGCGAGGCAAGCACTCTACCACTGAGCCACCTTCCCAGTCCTGGTAGCTACTATTCGCGATATGTATGTTTCATCTTCAGTCTGGGAAGTCTTCAAACAGAAATAGCCAAGAAGCAAGCAAAATTACTCACTTCTCTGAGAGAAACCAGCCTGAAGATAAAGCTGATACACAATGAACAGTAGATACAAGAAAATCACAGGGAAATGGAGCTAGCACCTTGACCAACCCTTAACTGAATCCCACATTACCACTGATTTCTAGTTACACATGACTCTATCTTCTGCTTTCTGGTGAAGCCGGTCTGAGATGAGTGTGTATAACTGGACACCTGTTCGCTGACATATCCCCTACATGCCCCACGTCCTTACCCACTTCCTTGCGCATCTTGTACTCATTGATGTTGGCGTTCACATCCTGGAGAGCAGACGCAGCCCTCTGGAGGGCAGGGTAGGCACTGGCATCAGGGTGAGTATTCTCCAGGATCTTCTGCAGCAGCAATGGGTACTTAGTGATCCTCTGCAGAGGGGTTACCAGGAAGAAACTGAGACCTGAAGCTCCCGCTTGGGGCCTGAGGGAGAAGGCTGATATTAGGCAGGTAGAGGCAGCCCCTGAGAGCACCATGGGGGCCAGAAATGTAGACCAAGCTCTGCCTTTAACCTTGCTGTGTGATCTGAGACATGTCACTCACCCCTGTGGTCCTCAGGGCCCCCCTCTGCGTGTGAGGTCTGAATGTTAGGTAGACAGGGCCAGTCCTGGGTCTTGCTTCCTTGTCTGTGCTGCTCCATTCTCTACCCTATGTATATTGAGCTCTCAGCATAGGACAGGGCTGACCGTACCTTCTTCTTCAAACATATCCTTCCTTCAGCCCCAGACACCCTCTCTGTCTAGTGTCTCTTCACAGGTCATCCTTTGCTTCCTCTGCAAGTCTCTCTCCGATGCTGGTGTGTCCCGGGGCCTCCCCTTCTCCCACTGACTCCCAGGCCTAAATCCAGCCCAATCCACATCTCTCTAGCGCCTCATCCACAAGGCTCATTTGACACTTCCACAGTTTGTTGGGCATCCTCATATTGCACTTAATAAAGAACCCTGCTGCTTAGAAGAAGAAAAGAAGAAAGAAGGAGAAGAAGAAGAAGGAGAAGAAGAAGGAGGAGGAGGAGGAGGTGAAGGAGGAGGAGGAAGAAGAGAGGAAGGAGGAGGAGGAAGAGGAGAGGAAAGAGAAGAAGGGGAGGAAGGGGAGGAAGGAGGGGAAGGTGAGGAAGGAGAGGGAGAGAAGGAAGAAGAGGAAGAGGAGGACGAGGATGAGGAGGACAAGAAAAGAAAAAAAAAGACTGGGCACTGGTGGCTCATGCCTATAATCCTAGCTGCTACTCAAGAAGCTGAGATCTGAGTATCATGGTTTGAAAAGTACATGAGACTATCTCCAATTGGTCACAAAAAAAAACTGTAAGTGGTGCTGTGGCTCAAGTGACTTGAGTAAAAATGCTCAGAGCTCAAGGCAGTGCCCAGGCCCAGAGTTCAAGCCGCAGGACTGGCCAAAAAAAAAAAAAAAAAAAAACAGATTTTAAAATCACAGGGACAGCGAGGCAGCAGCGGTGCATGCCTGTTATCCTAGCTATTCAGAAGACTGAAATCTGAGGATCACAGTTTGAAATCAGCCTAGGAAATGAAGTCCATGAGACACTCATCTCCAACTAACTAGCAAAAAACTAGAAGTAGAGCTATGGCACAAGTGGTAGAGCAATAGCCTTGAGAAAAAAATAAAAAAGCTCAGGGACTGTGCCCAGGCCCTGTGTTCAAGTTCCAGGACCCACACAAACAAAACAAAACAAAACAAAATCACAAGGACATAAATTTAGAGTTGTATTTTTGTAGAGACAAAGTCATAACAAAACAGATGCAGCACTCCTGTAATCCTAGCCACTCAGGAGGTTAAGATCTGAGGATCAAGATTTGAAGTCAACTGGAGCAGATTGAGACTCCAATTTGAAACTCAAATTAACTAGCAAAAAGCAGAAGTAACAGTGTGGCTCAAGTACAAGAGTACTAGCCTTAAGCAGAAAAAGTCAAATGAGAGTATAAGGCCTTGAGTTCAAGTTCCAGTAGTCACACAAACTCACACATGTAGCAAACACCAAAATGTTGACTCTTGCTCATTTTAAGAGGTGAGTATGTGAATGTCCATTACATTATTCTATTTTTCTACAGGCTTCATGCTTTTATTAGAAAAAGCAAAACAAGAAAAGGATGCCTTGGGACTAATGGCACTGCAGATGCACCGCCAAGGCCTGCACCCTTCCTGACAATGACAGGAATTTCACCGAGAGTCCCTTAGACCAAGGGCACTGGAGAGTGCCCCAGCAGGCTTCTGGGAAACTCACAGAACTTAAGCCCTCAACTATCCAAGTGTGCATCCAGCAAGAAAACTCTCAAAGGCTTTCCAACTGGCCACCGGCCTCTCCAGAACACAGCACTGACCTCTTGTTCTGCCTAATGACATATCCCCAGACCAAATGTCCAGGGAAGATCATCTGTGAGGCTAAGAATAGGAGGAGCAGGTGGGAGCCCCCTGGGAGGCTGCAGGGTGGGAGTGGGGATTCCGATCAGGACATGACCATGTGTCCATCTGCTCTTACCAGGGCTGTTCTGGAGTTCAGCCAGCTGTGGGCAGCAGAGGTGGGAACTGTTGGCAGACACTTGGAAAAACCCATCATCTGGGCTGATTTTCCACAGGAAAGAACCAGCTGCCTCCTAGACAACTGTCACCTTACAAATTGGAGGACATAGAGTCCTTAAAGAGACAATCAAATCCCTTCTTCACAATCAGCCAGGAGTCACCATCGAATGATGACCACCTGCACAACCACCTACACGCACAGAGGTAACTTGGAGGAAACGCTACATAGCCTCTCACAGACAGCAAAAACACAACAAGGTGCAGAGCTGGGTGTTCGGGAAGTAAGAGGACATCTTGGTGGGCAGATCACTTGGAGGATCACTGAGCAACTTATGAATGCACAAATCCTTCCTTCCATTAACCCCAACCCCCATCTCTGCTCCCCTGGAAGCACTGGCTCCAGTGAATGAGGATAAAGGGTAGAAGTTTCTCTGCAACTCTCTTGATGATTGCAAAACAATGCAATTGGAAACAATGTCAAAATCCATCAGTAGGACAATGGTCAAGAAAACCAGAGCTGTCCTGGAAGGAACCCTGCGCAGCCATGACAAAGACCACAAAAGAACTATTTATAGCATTGTGAAAGATATCATGACTGATTAAATGAAATGTTACATCAGCATGGGAAGTAGGAACTCCTTTAAAAAAAATTTACCCACCTACTGCCTACTGCCTGTCTATGTATCTACCTATAAAGATACTGAAAACATTACATTGAAACATTAACTACTAGAGGAGAAAGAGAGACATGGGATACCACTGGTATGGTGGCACATGCCTGTAATTCCAGTTACTTGAGAGAGAGAGATAGGGGAGACTTTAGCTCCAGGTCAGACTGAGGAAAAAAGACACTCCCATACCCTGCCATCTCAACTGATACATTATGTGTGGTATTGTGTCCCTGTGGGCCCAGCTACCCTGGGGGCCAGTGAGAGGACAGTGATCCAAGATGGCCTGACTGAAAAATGGTAGACCCTATCCAAAAAAATACCTAAAGCTGGGGCTGGGAAGTTGGCTTAGTGGTAGAGTGCTTGCCTAGCATGCATGAAGCCCTGGGTTCGATCCCTCAGTACCATAGAAACAGAAAAAGCTGAAAGTGGCGCTGAGGCTCAAGTGGTAGAATGTTAGCCTTGAGCAAAAGAAGCTCAGGGGTAGTGCCCAGGACCTGAGTTCAAGCCCAGGAACTGGCTAATAATAGTAGTAGTAATAATAATAAAGCCAAAAAGAGCTGGGGATGAGGCTCTCATGGTGGAGTGCTTGATCTAACACAAGGCTCTGAGTCCAAACCCTGGCACAACTGAAAATAAATAAATAAATAAATAAACCCAAACAGAAATGAGACTAAGCTCCCTTGGTCTTCAATGGACTTTTAATTTTTACCTTATATACTTAGTATTTGAATTTCCTTTTTTTTAAATAAGCATATAGTAATTAAATCTATGTGTATATATAAATACACATATGTCACACACATACATACATATATGCATGTGTGTATGTTGCTGGAGTATGAAATCAGGGTCTTTTACTTACTAGGCAGGTACTCTACCGTGTGAGCCTTGCCCCCAGCCCTACTTTTATATGTAAAACAAACACAATTAGCCTTCTCTAAACCTGCTGCCCCAGTCACCATTCCATAAGCACAGGTTCCAGGGCTGACCCACCTCTACCAGACCTCTTCTACCCTCCATGTGAGAGATCCTGCCTAGACAAAGCTTTCTGCCTGCTGCTAGGGAAAGTCTTTGCCCTCTATGGTTCTAAGAGGGACGAGTCTTTAAGAGAAAAAATAAGGCCAGGAGCTGGTGGCTCATGACTACAATCCCAGCTACTCAGGAGGTTGAGATAGAAGGATCACAGCTCAAAGCCAGTCCGGGCAGGAAAGTCTGTATGACTCATCTCCAATTAACCACCAAAAAGCTGGAAGTGGAGCTGTGGCTCAAGTAGGAGAAGCCAGACCTGAGTAAAAAAGCTCAGTGGTAGTGCCCAGGTCCTGAGTCCTAGACCAGTACCAAAAAAATAAAATAAAAAACACAAGATAACTGAACATTCTGCCTAGGCCACCCACCTACCCTAGTTAAAGGCAGGCCAGCATGGGTTTTGGAATTGGAAAGAATTAAATTAGCGGTACCGTGGATATTGAGAGAGCTGAGAAAGAACTATTTGTCATGTTCCTAGCTGGCCAGGCTCAAGGAAGCCAAGATTACTCACTGTTCCAGAAGGAAGGAACTCAACAGTCATGCTGACAGGAAGAATGTCATTCCTGGCACAGCACTAGACTACATATCCTCATGGAGAGCATTTTTAAATCAGCAGGTGCTTGGTGGGCAGGGAATGGTGCCTGGAAGCCTTGTGTCATGTGTCCCTCTGAACACTCAGAGCATGAACAAGGGCCTCAAAATATACTGCAACTTCAAGAACCCAAACATGTTTGTGACCTTTAGACTCTGTGCAGCCCCATGGCACCACACTGGAAATAACTGACATGCTCCTTTTGATACATAAGACTCAAATCATTTGCCAGAATGTCACCTCAAGCTGGGCACTGGTGGTGCACAGCTGTAATCCTAGCTAATCAGGAGGTGAGGATGAAAGTTCAAAGCCAGTCTGGACAGGAAAGTCCGTGAGACTCTTATCTCCAATTAACCACCAGAAAACCAAAAGTAGAGCTTTGATTCAAACTGGTAGAGCACTAGCTTTGAGCTGAGGAGCTCAGGGATAGTATCACCCAGGCCCTGAGTGTAAGTCCCATGACCTAAAAAGAAAAGAAAAGAAAGAAAGAGAGAAAGAGAGAGAGAAAGAAAGAAAGAAAGAAAGAAAGAAAGAAAGAAGGAAGGAAGGAAGGAAGGAAGGAAGGAAGGAAGGAAGGAAGGAAGGAAGGAAGGAAGGAAGGAAGG